TGTGGGTTCAATTCCGGTCAAGGGCATGTACCTCCATTGCAGTTCATCCCCGGACCTGGTCAGGGTCATGCAGGAGGCAGCCAATTGATGTGTCCCTTTCACATTGGTGTTTCTCTCTCTCTCCCTCTCTCTCTCCCCCTCCCTCCCACTCTATCTGAAGATAAATAGAAAAATATCCTTTGGTGAGGATTAAAATAATAATAATAGTAATAAATGCATTATTATTTAATTCTGTAATTGAAGACAACAGAGGAAAATGTAAAATTATTACTATAAATGGTTTTTTAAAGTATATGAATTTACAAAGTTATCACCAAGTTGTGTTCTGTTGAATGTTAATTTATGTGTCAGTTTTATACAACTCAGAATGCTTGTAACATTAAAATACCATTTGGAATGGCAATGAGCTCATAACAAGCCTCTTTAAGCCAACAAAACTGGAGTAGTAGCACTGATATTTTCCTGAGTGGAAGCAGAAGACCATGCAGTAGAAAAGAGAGGAAAAGGAGCATATTTCTTCCTTTCTTGAATAGTAAGCATTTATTCAAGGGAAAAGTTTTAAGATAGGCTATTTATTTATTCATTCATTAGTTTGTTTATTTATTTATTTATTTATTTATTTATTTATTTATTTATTTATTCATTCATTCAATCATCCATTCATTGTTACAAACACTTATTGAACAATCTACATGTGCCAGCTACTGCTTTAGTCACTGAAAATATGAAGACGAATAAAATAGTCTTTTTCCTTATGTTCACAATTGGGAGAAGGCTATAGATATGAAACAAATAATTACAGTTGACCCTTGAACAACATGGGTTTAACTATGAGGATCCACTTATACATAATTTTTTTCAATAAATAGTACAGTACTATAAATATATTATCCCTTATGCTTTTATTCATAGTATTTTCTTTTCTCTAGCTTACTTTATTGTAAGAATCCAATACATAATACATATAACATATAAAATATGTGTTAATCAACTAGGATTGGTAAGGCTTCTGGTCACCAGCAGGCTACTGGTAGTTAAGTTTTTGGGGAGTCAAAAGTTATACATGGATTTTCAATGTACAGGGGGTCAGCACCCCTGTCCCCTGCATTGTTCAAAGGTCAACTATAGAATATGATGGTAAATATTTTGGCGAATATGTGTATGTGGTGTGTGGAAGCATATAAAATGGACATGTGATCCAGTGTAGAAAAGGCGTTTCAAAAGAAATCAGCCCCTGCACTTAATTCTAATGTTTCAGATCTTTCATGCCTCAAGCACCTTCCAAACCCTTGCATACAGAGCCTTCTCACATGTTTTTTTTTCTTTTATCTGGATTTTACCCTTCCATTCTTCATTTATGGGTTTCTCATCAGCTCAAAGAGATCTTCCCTGTGTTAGGGAACAGCTCTGTCCAAAGTTATGTAAAATGAATAGCTCAGTTGTTTTCCTTGGTCTCTTATTTCTTTATAACACTTACCTTGATTTTTAATTTACATTCTTTGTCTATTTAGTTTGTTTATTTGTTTGTTTCTGCCTATCTTTCTCACTAGGAATGTGAACTTTTTGAGGATAGGAACCATGCTTGTCTGTTTAATCATTATAGTAGAAATTCAATAAAAGTTGTTAAATAAATGAATGAGAGACCTAAGAATTACAGAAGAGATAGGTATGATTCTTACATCTCTAGCATAGGTAACTGAAAAGAAGGTGTTACTATTCACCAAGATAAGAACAAGAGGCCAAAAGCATTCATTTTGAAGAGAGAAGGATGATGAATTTGGTTTTAGACATAGTGAATATAATAGTCAGGTGGTGATGCCTAGTGGGTTGTTTCTACAAGAATCACGTGTGTGTATTATAATAGAGTCAGACCTCATTTTTGATGTTTGACTGCTGATTTATTTTTAGGCTTCACCCTCCCTTCCCCTTTGCCCTACACCTGCACAGGCTGATTAGAATGCCCCTGGACTTATCTTCTCCTTTGGCACCAGCAGGAAATTTAAATCTCCTGTGCACAGGAACATTTCCCTAGTCCCACCCGTTAGTCACAATTAGGGCCCAAACCCACTCCCTCTGCTTTGCCCAAGTCAATCCAGACCCACTTGTGTCTGCACAGCTCTCAGTTGTTCTTGGTTGAGGGATACTTTTAAATTCCCTTGGTGTGTGGAGTGTCAACTGAACCAAATTTTGGGTAGGGGTCTCTCTTGCTTTTTTATGTGAGGACGATACAGCATCTATATAAGCTCAAGTCAAATCTGTGCTAGACAAATATAGATTTGGCGCCTTCAGAATGTGAATCAGAGATAACGAAGAGGTTTCATGACAAATTCTGCTCTGAGTATTAGGGAGAGGCTGCCCAGTGCATTGGGTTGGGAAGAACCAAGACTCAGCAGGAATATTGGTGGTGTGGACATGGGTGTTGGGAGTATAGATATGAATGGTATGTATTTCTTGGATTTCCTTCCACATGTTAACTTTGCATTAAGCTAAATTAATGGCAGGTAGTTGAGTAGTCTTCCCAAACTAAGGTAAAAGTCTTTGTTGACAGGTAATTCAATATTATTTAATAGTTACATATTATTTATATAAGTCACTGATAATATTACCTCTTCACTGCCCCTAGATAGATTTTTGTTCTTATTCACTCTCAGAACAGGTAAATTTTGCCTAGCTGATGTGGCTCAGTAGATTGAACGTCATCCCATGAACTGAGAGGTCGAGGTTCAATTCCTGGTTAAGGGAACATGCCTGGTTTTCAGGCTCGATCCCCAGTAGGGGATGTGCAGGAGGCAGCTGCTCGATGTTTCTCTCTCATATCGATCTATCTTTCTCTCTCTAAAAAAATCAATAAAAACATATTTAAAAAAAGAATAGGCAAATTTCTTTGTGAAAACAATGTATTATTCAATACACACATAGGTATAATGTTGGTGATTCCCAGATTGGCTAAAGAATAAAACTGAAAATTTTTTTATCATGTTGTTTTCCTTTAAAGTAGCAATTTTAAGCCTTCAAAAATTTCATTTCTCAAAATTGGATACATTTATTTTTATGTCCTTTAAATCTTGATTGTTGACTTGTGAGTTTGCTTCTAAGAGACTGGTAAAGTATTAAATAGTTCTAACAACTTAAACAAACAAACAAATTGCCCTGGCTGGTTTGGCTCAGTGGTTCGAGCAATGGCCTGCGGTCCAGAGAGACCTGGGTTCGGTTCCCTCTAAGGGCACGTACTTCGGTTGCAGTTTGTCCCTGGCCCTGGTTGGGTCATGCGGGTGGCAACCACTCGATGTGTCCCTTTCACGTCGATGTTTCTCTCTCTCTCTCTCCCTCCCATTCTATCTGAACAAAATATGGAAAAATATCCTCGGGTGAGGATTAAAAAACAAACAAACAAAAAAACAAATTAATGAAAATTTGTAAACCTAATATTTTTAGGGCAATCATAAACCTGGTTTAGCTGCGGCCAGCAGTGACCTTTTTCTTAGTTCCTTTTAAAGAGAGTGGCTATGACTCCAAAACTGCTTACTCTGTACAGATGAATCAACTAGGAATCTCTGTTCTGAATGGGCTTAATAATACCACAGGGAACTTACTAGCTCGTTTAGCTGTATAGTCCTCCATGGCACAGGGGAGGTAATTTTCCCCTTCCAGAAGCTGAGGGAGGGGAAAAATGTTTTTGATTGGGTGCATGGGAAAAAAAGGTTTATTCCTCAGTCTTTCAGTCCATTTAAGCGGATTGTTACCCTGTGCCTACCTGCTCAGGAATATAAAAAAGCTAGAGACAGCAGATAGCGGTAGTGGAACAGCCTGCATACTTGCTGATTGGCGGACAAGGACCCACGGGCAAGTAGACATCTCAGGCTTCAGCTGTCTTGCCAGCATGCAGAGGATTGGCGGCCAGAGAGCACTCAGAGCCTGCAATAAACTGATAGCAGAATCTGCTGTAGTAATAGTGGTGGGTCTTGGGAGATGGGTTGAAAAGGTGGAGCTAGAACTAAATCTTCCAGATCAGAGCTCAACAGTGATGAGCCTGCTCAGGGATCTCTGAAGAACTCACACATTAAGCCCTTTGAGAGAACTAGCATTTGGTGGCTTACCACTGAGAAGGCATCAATAGCTGGTCAGTGTTGGCTACTGGAGAAATGACAATCAAAGTGGCCAGTTGGATAAGGAAACCTTTGTTTCTCTCTTTCCATGAAACGCCTTCTCCTGAGTGGCTAGTGCTGAAATTGAGAAGCACTAGAGATTAGGGACTTCTCAGGGGAAAAAAAAGGTCACCATTCTACTATACAGTCCTTCACTTAACCGGTTCTTTCTAAAAGAAAGGAATATTTGAAGTTCTAGTGTAGGACTTAGTTTTGGTGAGGAATGAAACAAATTTCAAAGAGAAATATTAGCAAATTTAGGCCAACCGATTTGGGTTTGATTTTAAACACAGCTCTTTATATATCTGCCTTGACCCACCCTCCTACCTCCAAATCCACAAGTTCTTCCTTATAGTTTCAAATCATCCCAGATTAGAGTCTAATTCATTTCTTTAAAATACAACTGTTTGCCCTGGCCAGTTTGGCTCAGCGGTTAGAGCATTGGCCTGCGGTCTGGAGAGACCCGGGTTCGGTTCCCGCTAAGGGCATGTACTTCGGTTGCAGTTTGTCCCCGGCTCTGGCTGGTCGTGTGGGTGGCAGCCACTCGATGTGTCCCTTTCATGTCGATGTTTCTCTCTCTCTCTCTCTTCCTCTCTCTCCCTCCCACTCTATCTGTACAAAAAATGGAAAAATGTCCTCGGGTGAGGATAAAAAAAAAAAAAAAATTAAAAAAAAAAAATACAACTGTTTTTTGCTTTGCTCTCAATTATAATTAACCTTCCTTCCTTCCTTCCTTCCTTCCTTCCTTCCTTCCTTCCTTCCTTCCTTCCTTCCTTCCTTCCTTTTCTCCTCCTCCTCCTCCTCCTCCTCCTCCTCTCCCTCCCCCTCCCCCTCCTCCTTCTCCTTCTGCTTTAGAATAAAGGAACATGAAGAGGAAGAAGAAAGAAGGAGAAAATGTGAAGAAAAGGATGCTGAGGAAATAAAGAAACAGACTTCATTATATGAAATAGAAATGAGAAAAACACTAGAAAAGAAAAAAGAAGAGATAAATGAAAGCAGGAGGCTGTTTTATGTAAGTTGAAAATATAGCATCTCTTCAAAATATGTACAAAGTTCAGTGCCTAAGTTTTAATATATTTTTTAAAAATAATAGTGGATTAGAAAGCAATAGTGGATTGCTTAAATTGGATTTCTTTTTTTTTTTATCCTCACCCGAGGACATTTTTCCATTTTTTGTTCAGATAGAGCGGGAGGGAGAGAGAGGAAGAGAGAGAGAGAGAAACTTTGACGTGAAAGGGACACATCGAGTGGCTGCCACCCGCACGACCAACCAGGGCCGGGGACAAACTGCAACTGAGGAACATGCCCTTAGCGGGAACTGAACCCGGGTCTCTCTGCATCGAGCCAAACCGGCCAGGGCTAAATTGGATTTCTAAGTATATTTTGGGGGAGCTATATTTGTTGTGGTTTTATATGGATGTGCTCTCATGAATGAACAAGAAAGAAGAGAATGAGACTTTTTTTTCCCAAATGAATTTATTTTTCTATCCTTAAAATCAGAGTTATCATATATATTAAGTTGCAAAAATATAGTATATCTTGATTTATCAATTTTAGACATTTTCTGTGTTTTGCCCTAGCAGTTGAGGATTTAACGCAACTGAGATAGCTTCTCTTTTTTTGCAACCAATTGATGTTTCTCTCTCACAACCTTTTGGTATAGAGGATAACAATCCAATCAACTGAGCCACCCAGCCAGGGCTGTATATCTTCTGTGAAATGTCTATTCGATTCCCGGTCAGAGCACATATCTAGGTTGTGGGTTCAATCCCAGGTTAGAGTGTATATGGGAGGCAACCAATTGATGTTTCTCTCTCACATTGATGTTTCTGTCTCTCACTCTTGCTCTTGCTCTCTCCCTTCCTCTCTCTCTTAAAAAAATCAATTAAAAAATATATCCTCAGGTGAGGATATATATATATGTTTTTATTATTGATTTTAGAGAGGGAAGAAAGGAGAAAGGAGAGAGAGAGACACACAATGACGTGAGAGGGTCATATCAATCAGCTGCTTCCTGAACACCCCCCACTGGGGATCAAGCCCTCAAGCTAGGTAGGTATGTGCCATGACCAGGAATCAAATCAGCAACTACTCGGTGCATGGAACGACACTCAACCAACTGAGCCACACCAGCCAGGGCAAGGATATATACATATATATTTTGTTTGTTTGTTTGTTTGTTTGAATTTATATATATATATATATATATATATATTTTTTTTTTTTTAGAAAGAGAGTAAGGAACTTTTCTGGAAGTCTTAACAATTTCCATTAAGTCTCATTGCTCATAATTTAGTCACACCTAGGTGAATGGAAAGCTTGGAAATATAGTCTTCTAGCTGAGTATATTACCTACTACTAATGCAGAAGACAACAAAGAATCTTGGATAGGCAATTAATTATTCCTGCCACTTTTGTTTTTTTGTTCAACTTTGAGAGTTATCCTCAACTTTGTCTTTAAGCCTTCAATTGAATTTTTTTAATCCTCACCTGATGATACGTTTTTCTTTCTCTTTTTAAAAATATGTTTTTATTGATTTTTTAGAGAGAGGAAGGGAGAGAGAGAGAGAAACATCTATGTGAGAGAGAAACATCCACCCAGTGCCTCCTGCACGCCCCCTACTGGGGATGAGCCTGAAACCCCGTCATATGCCCTTACCTAAAATTGAACTGGGACCTCTCAGTCCACTGGATGATGCTCAATCCATTGAGCCACACAGATTACACCGAGGATATGTTTTTCACTGATTCTATAGAGAGAAGAAAGGAGAGGGAGAGAAACATTGACGAGAGAGAAAAACATTGGTTGCCACCATGGGAGATTGAACCTGCAACCTGGGTATGTACCCTGACCAGGAATCAAACCCATGACCCTTTGGTGCATGGGATGACACTCGAACCAACTAAGCCACACCTGCCAGGGCCTTCTGTTGAGTTTTTTTTATTATTATTTTTTATTTTTTTATCCTCACCCAAGGACATTTTTTGCATTTATCTTCAGATAGAGTGGAAGGGAGAGAGTGGGGAAGAGAGAGAGAGAAACATCAATGTGAGAGAGACACATTAACTGGTTGCCAGCCACATGACCCCAACCTGGCAGGGACAAACTGCAACTAAGGTATGTGCCCTTAGTAGGAACCAAATCCGGGACTCTCTGGTCTGCAGGCCAATGCTCTAACCACTGAGTAAAACTGACCAGGGCGTCTATTGAGTTTTGTTTTTTTTAATTGATTAATTTTTGTTAGAGATGTTTCTCCTTTTCCCCCCAATGATTCACCACTCCCCGCCCCCCTGCCCTGTCCCCAGCTTTGTTGTCCATGTCCATTGTTCATGCATACGTGCATATAAGTTCTGTGGTTTATTTCTCCCCCACCACCCTCTCTTCTGGGGATTGTCAGTCTGTACCCCACTTCCACGTCTCTGGGACTACCCCATTCCTCAGACTGTTATGTTCATTATATTCCACAAATAAGTGAGATCATATGATACTTGTCTTTCTCTGTTTGGCTTGTTTCACTTAGGATGATACTTTCCAGGTCCCTCCATGTAGTCTCAAAGGATAAGAGATCTTTCTTTCTTACAGCTGCATAGTACTCCATTGTGTATATGTACCACTGCTTTTTTATCCATTCATCTACTGATGGACACTTGGGCTGTTTCCAGATCTTAGCTATTGTAAATAGTGCTGCTATGAACATGGAGGTACATATATTATTTCTGATTGGTGTTTCAGGCTTCTTAGGGTATATTCCTAGAAGTGAGATCACTGGGTCAAATGGCAGTTCAGTTTTTAATTTTTTGAGGTAACACCATATTGTTTTCCATAGTGGCTGCACCGGTCTGCATTCCCACCAGCAGTGTACTAGGGTCCCCTTTTTTCCACACCTTCGCCAACACTTGTTGTTTGATGATTAAAAAGAAAAAAAAAGTTGAGTTTTTAATTTTAGCTATCAAAATTCTAATTTCTAAGAGTTTTACTTGTAATTTTATTTTTATTTTTGCATAAAATCTTATATTTGGTTCATGGATGCAATATTTTCATATCTCTAAGTCACTTTGGAATGCGACAGACCTTGTTTTGAAAGGTAACTCTGCCACTTACTATCTATGTATGTGATCTTGAGCTGAGACTTAAATTTTTAAAAATAAAAATTAAGCCCTGGTTGGTTGGGCTCAGCAGTTAGAGCACTGGCCCACAGACTAATGAGTTGCAGGTTTGATTCCGGTCAAGGGCATATACCTTGGTTGTGGTTCATCCCCGGCCCTGGTCGGGGTCGTGAAGGAGGCAGCCAGTCGATGTGTCTCTCTCACGTCGATGTTCCTCTCTCTCCCTTCCTTCCTTCCACTCTATCTTAAGATAAATGCAAAAATGTCCTTAGCTGAGGATAAATAAATAAAAATCTATATGAACATTACAATAAACTTAGAAAAAAACAAAATGAAAATTCTTTTTGTTTTCTTGTTAATCCTCACCAGAGGATATTTTTCCATTGATTTTTTTTTTTTTAGAGAAAGTGGAAGGGAGAGAGGGAGGGGAATAGAGGGGGAGGTAAAGAGGGAGGGGGAGAGAGAGAGAAAGAAACATTGATATGAGAGACACACATTCATTGGTTGCCTCCCACATGTTCCCCAACTGGGGCTGGGGATGAACCTGCAACCTAGGAACGTGCCCTTGACTTGTAATTGAACCCACGACCCTCTGGTACAAGGGCCAATGCTCTAATCACTGAGCCACACCGGCCAGGGCAACAAAAAAAAACTTCTAGGAAATCATTCCAAAAAATAAAAAATAAAGAAATCATTCAAAAGAATCACTGTTCTTTTAAATCCTCACCCAAGGATTTTTAAAAAATTGACTCTAGAGAGAAAGAAATGAGAGAGTGAAACATCAATTAGCTACCTCAACCTTAAGTGCCTTGACCAGGGATTGAACCCACAATCTAGGTATGTGCCCTGACTGGAATTGAACCTGCAACCTTTTGGTGTAGAAGACAACACTCCAACCAACTGAGCCACCTGACCAGGGCTCAAAACAACCACTTTTAGCCGTTCTACATTTTCATTAGCTTTTCCTGTTGAATAATAGATGTCCTTAACCATATGGTAGACTTTTAAAAGTAACAATTCATAAAATAGAAGAATAATTAAGAGTGCCAGGCACATAGCATACCCTGAATTATAAATATATTGGAGATTAAATTTAAATATAGTAACTTTCACCTTGAATTGTTTTCTACATACAGTAGCAGAATACACTAATATATGTGTATATCCAGGCTACTGTGTTCAAAGGCATCTATTTGTATGCTGACTATTTTAGGTTGAGTCATGGAATGTATGCTGATATGTACAGATTTTTATTTTTTGTTTTTAAAAATAATGATTCATTTTGCCCTGGCCAGGTGGCTGCCTTGGTTAGAGTGTCATCCTGTACACTAAAAGGTTATTGGTTCCATTCCGTCAGGGTACATTCGGGAGGCAACCAATCAATGTTTCTCTCCCACATCAATGTTTCTCTCTCTCTTTCTCCCTTCCTTTCTCTCTAAAATCAATAAAAACATATCCTTGGGTGAGGCTTATAATAATAAATAAAAATAACTACCTATTTAAAATTTTTTTGTTAGAATATACAGTTGTTTCTCGTTTATCGCAGTTAATTAGTTTCAGACTCTAGAGGTTGTACCTGGTGTTGAAGGACTCCTGGGGTGCTCGAATACATAGGCCTACAGTCCATACACAGAGTAATTTTAATTTTAATTATAATACAGGAGTGTATAATTGACTCAGACAACCGAGCGCCCACTGTATCATTTTTACTGTCTCGATCAACTTTTTAATGAATATATTTGAAAAAAAACCACGATAGAGTGAAGTCGCGAAAGTCGAAGCGCAAAGTCGTGAGGAACAACTCTACATGTGTATATTTTCCCATATATATGCTAAAACAAAGTCTAGACAAGGAATTCGTTTCACAGTGATTGAGTCTGGTGGGTAGAATTAGGAATAGGCAGATAGATAGTGGATGGGGTAGGTATCTTTTAAATATTATAATGCATGTGCTATGTGAGTATATTAAACTATTTAAACATTAAATTATATATATTTAATGTATTTTTCTGATTGTTGAATTTTTTTAATTGCATATTTTTAAAGAAGTGAGATATTTTTAAGGAAATACAGTAAAGCATTAAGAAGATGTAAAAGTCACCTATAATTTCATACCCCATTTGATACATTTCTTCCAGTTATATATACATTATAAACATGTATTTATATATATTAGCTAAAATATGCTATTTAGTGTTTATATTCTGTTTTTTTCTCCCACTCACTGATTGTATTATTTGTATTCTTCCCATGTCACTGAGAGTATAATTTATTTAACCATTTCTTCATTATTGAACATTAAGAGGTTGTTTGCAACTTGTCACCATCATAAGTAACCTTGAGATGAAGTACAAGGTACAGAAAACTTAGTGCATATTTCTGATGATCTCTTTGGGATAAATTTCCAAAAGAGAAAGAACTCGGTCAGAAGCTGTGACCATTTGACATGTTCTTGTTGGATATTTATATGTTGAAAGATATTTTTCTTGATAGGCTAATACAGAATTTTTTCCTCCAGGAACATATGAATGATAAAAATATCATCAAAGCTGTAGAACAGCAGCAGCAAGAGGAGGAAGATGAAAAGATTAGGACATTTATCAAAGCAAAAAAACGTCTTACACAAATGAGGAAAGAAAAAGAAGCTGAAACACACAGGTCAGCTTTTAAAATAACCTCTGTAATTAATTAATAAAGCACTATCTGAAATTATTTTATCAGCAATCAGAAGTTGTGATATGAGAGTAGCCTTTAGGAGTAAAGGGCCCATTATTTATGTATGACTAGGGCCCTGGCGACATGATGACTCCAGCTTGGGGCATGCGAGTCGGGGCTCCCCTGGAATATCAAGGACGTCCCTCTGTAGATGGCTGGCGATACCAGAAATCTCTGATGCAGAAGGGGGGCATGAGCCATGTTCGTGAGAGTCATTGCTGTATCCATGGTTGTTGGCCCTGTGGGCACAGGTGACTTCACCCAGGGTGGATAGGTAGTAAATGAAGGTGGCATAGTCCCTAGGGACATCCACATTTAAGGGTCAAATGGGGAAAGAAGGTAATGTGAACACTACAGAATAGTTTCTAGAGATTGAAGGAAAGCCAGAGAAACAGCAAAGGAGAGTTTTAGTAAAAAAAAAAGCAGACATCAGTGTTAGACCAATGAAGGGATTAAATGAGATTTTTAAAATTGTTTATCAGATTCAGAGGTCAGTTAGTGAGGAGTTTGGAAGGAGGTGAGAGGACAGTGGGAGGCCAGCTGCAGTACATCATGTTTCTGTCTAGATCATGCTTTTCCCTTGTGCACAATCCTCCCACGGCTTTACTTCACACTTAGGGTCTTCACATGGCCCATAAGGCTCTGCGCCATCCTAATCCCCAGCTGCCTCCAGCCTCTCTCTCCGCCTCCTGTCTCACTGATCTCCCTTCCTACCCCCTCCCTCCCTCGCGGTGAACTGCTCCGGTACCCTCTCTGGCCAATGCTTGCTTCCCTACTTCTTCCGGATCATTACTCAAATACCGCCTTCTCATTGAGACTTCCCCTGGTGACCTTATGTAAAATCACAACCCCGCCTCCCACATTGCTTATCCCTTTTACTGTTCTCTTTTTCCTCATTGCATGATATGACACTATTTTAATTATTTATTTTGTTTACTGTGCCCCTACCCCAGCTACAACAAAAGCTCCATGAGGGCAGAGACATTTATTTATTTATTTATTTATTTATTTATTTATTTACTTATTTATTTATTTTTATTAATTTATTTTTGTTATAGATGTTTCTCCTTTTTCCCCATTGACACCCTCCAGAGGGCAGAGACTTTTAATGCTTTTGATTAGTGTTATGTCGCCAGCACCTGCAGTGTGCTTGGCACATAGCAGGCGGTCAATAAAAGTGCTTAAAATATTGTTTTTGAAAGCCTAGATGAAATGTCACCTTTCCCATGAAGGTTTTCTTTCTTTTTTTCTTTTTTCCATTTGCCCATATCATTTTTTAGCTTTCTCATGTTATTTATCACCCTTTGCCTACACAGTTGTTTATGTAAATGTCTTTTCTCCACTTTAGATTGTAATTTCTTTGGGAAAGGCACTGTGTTCTTTTTCCCACATTGCTTTGCAAATTCACTCAGTAATTTAATGAATGTACCACATGCAAATTTAAAAGTATTTTTGGCAAAATTTCCTAAATAAAAATGCCTCAGTCCTTTAAAAATAAGGTAGTCCCCCTTATCCAAAGTTTTGCAGATAGTAGTAAGAGGATGGATTTATTCAGAATTTTGATAGCGTTTACTAGGTATTTTTGAGATTTTATTTAAAGAAAGGTCTTTGTGTCCAGCCGGTGTGGCTCAGTGGTTGAGCATCGACCCATGAACCAAGAAGTCACTGGTTCGATTCCCAGCCAGGACACATGACAAGGTTGTGAGCCCAATCCCCAGTGGGGGGCATGCAGGAGGCAGCCAATTGATGTTCTCTCTCATCAATGTTTCTGTCTCTCCCTCTCACTTCCTCTCTCTCTAAAAAATCAATAAAGAAAAATAAAGTAAAAAAAATAAAGAAAGGCCTTAGAGCCCTGGTCGGTTGGAGCATCAGCCTGCAGTTGGAGCATCAGCCTGCAGTTGGAGCATCAGCCTGCAGACCAAAGAGTGTCAATTCGATTCCAGGTCAGGGCACATGCCTTGGTTGCAGGTTTGATCCCCAGCCCAGTTGGGGTCCTGCAGGAGGCAACTGATCAGTCAGTATCTCTCTCTCACATTGATGTCTCTCTCTCTCTCCCTCCCTCTGTCCCTCCCTTCTCCCCTCCCATTCTATCCAAAAATCAATGGAAAAATATCTTCAAGTGAGGATTTTAAAAAAGAAAGAATAAAAGAAAGAAAGACCTTTGATTTATTTCATAACCTAAGCCTCCATTATTAGAGTAAACAGAGTAATATAGAATTTAAAAAAAATTTTATTGTGGAGAATTTTAACACTTTATTTCCTCTACACACATATACATACCCAAGATCATATTATATGCATTACTCCTTTTGGAGTTTTATTTATTTATTTATTTATTTATTTATTTTTTTATCCTCACCGGAGGACATTTTTCCATTTTTTGTTCAGGTAGAGTTGGGGGGAGAGAGAGGAACAGAGAGAGAGAGAGAAACATCGATGTGAAAGGGACACATCGAGTGGCTGCCACCCGCACAACCGACCAGGGCCGTGGACAAACTGCAACCGAGGTACATGCCCTTAGCAGGAACCGAACCCGGGTCTCTCAGGACCGCAGGCCGACGCTCTAACCACTGAGCCAAACCGGCCAGGGCATCCTTTTGGAGTTTTAGAATACAGGTATTCTACAATAATAGTATTTGATCTGGTAACTGAGATGCCACTAAATGACGAACAAACAGGCAATAGTGTATACAGCATGGTACACTGGACAAAGGGATGATTCGTGTCCCAGGGCAGGATGGAATGAGATTTCATCACACTACTCAGAATGGTCTGCAATTTAAAACTTATGAATTGTTTATTTCTGTAAGTTTTCATTTAATATTTTTGGACTGTGGTTGACCACAGGTAACTGAAACAACAGAAAGTAAAACCACAGATAAGGGGGGACTACTGCTTACTTTATTCTAAAAATGAAGTATTAAAAAATAATTTTTATTTAAGACAATATATATAGCAATGGGGCTCCTTTTAGTCTTGTAAATCCTATAAAATATCTGACTCGCCAGATTATATTGACTCCATAGTAGATCTGTTCATGAAGATTTGACATGATGTTTGTTTTGTTATAGGCTAATGGAGCTACGTAGAGAAAGAATAAACAACTTCCTGAGTGAACTAATGAAACAGAAATCTGACAATGAAGATTTGATTATTGCTAGAGATATTGCAGAAGCTGAGGCTTTATGGGAAAAAAGAGAAAAAGAGAAATATGAAAAAAACAAAGCAGAATTAAAAGCAATTGAAGAATATAGAGGCATTGTGGTAAGCAATTTTATTTTGACACATAAAAATTAAACAAAAAATATTTAAGCCCTTTCCACTGTAGCTCCTACTCCCTCTGCATCTCTGACAAAAACAAAATCAGAAATTTGAAGAACAATGTATGAATTGTCTTTCTGTAGTTCTGAACTCAGACCATGTTTACTTTCTAAAACAGAAGATAATGGGACAAATACAAATAATATATTTATAGATGCAAAGTAATAATCTCTTCTGTTTCAAAAATACATATTTTTTAAATTTATTTTTATTGTTGACACTATTACAGATGTCCCCCATTTTTCCCCCTTTGCCCTCTTCCTCCTAGTCCCCCCCTCCCCTGGCCTTCACCACACTGTTGTCTGTAACCATGTACGATGCATATATGTTCTTTGACTAATTACTTCACTTTCCTTTTTTTATTTTTAAAATATGTTTTTATAGATTTTTTTTTTAGAGATAGAAGAAGGGAGAGAGAGAGACAGAAACACCACTGAGAGAGAAATATCAATCAGCTGCCTCCTGCACGCCCCCCACCAGGGATCGAGCCAAAAACCCTGGCATGTGCCCCAACTGGGAATCAAACTAGGAGCTCTCAATCCACGGGATGATGCTCAGTCCACTGAGCCACACTGGCCGGGCTCTTCATCTTCTTTGATCCAGTCCCTCCCACCCCACACCCTCTGACATCACTCAGTGTGTTCCAAGGCTCCATGCCTCTGGTTCTATTTTGTTTGTTACATAATGATGATGATTTTTAATCCTCACCTGAGGATATTTTTCCATTGATTTTTAGATAGAGTGGGAGGGGGGAGAGAGAGAGAGACAGAGAGGAAGAGAAACACCTATATGAGAGAGACACATCGATTGGTTGCCTCCCATACAACTCCAACCAGGCTGTAGATTGAACTTGCAACTGAGGCATGTGTACCCCTGATTGGGAATCAAACCCACAAGTTTTAGGTCCACGGGCCAATGCTCTAACTACTGAACCGAACCGTACAGTCTGTTAGATTATTTTGCTCATTAGATTACACATATAAGTGAGATCATTTGGTATTATCTTTCTCTGGCTGGCTTATTTTGCTTAGCACAATAATCTTCAGGTCCATCTATGCTGTTGCAAAGGGTAAGAGTTCTTTCTTTTTACAGCTGGGTAGCATTCCACTATGTGAATCCTTTTATACACTCATCTACTGATGGGAACTTGGGCTGTTTCCAGTTCTTGGCTATTGTAAATAGCGCTGGTATGAACTTATTTCTGATTGGTGGTTTGGGATTCTTAGGATATAGTCCCAGAAGTTAAACTCCTGGGTCAAATGGCAGTTCCATTTTTAATTTTTGGCATAAACTCCCATCCTGTTTTCCACAGTGGCTACATCAGTCTGCATTCTCACCAACAGTGTAGTAGGGTTCCCTTTTCTCCACATCCTCACCAGCACTTGTTTGTTGATTTATTAATGGTAGCTATTCTGACAGGTGTGAGGTGATACCTCATTGTAATTTTAATTTGCATTCCTCTGATGTTTAGTGATGTTGAACATTTTTTTCATGTCTATTGGCCATCTGTGTGTCCTCTTTGGAGAAGTGTTTATTCAGGTCCTCCAATTTTTATTTTGGTTGTTTGTCTGCTTGGTGTTGAGTTGTATAAGTTATTTATATACAGGGGTGAGCAAAAGTAGGTTTTTATGCTAAATAATGCAATAATTAATAAATAATAATACAAGAATAAACTGTGTTTTGCATACTCACAATTGTAAACCTACTTTTGCCCACCTACTTTTATATTTTGGAAATTAACTCCTTATCAATTGTATCATTGGCAAAAATGTTCTCCCATACAATGGGTTCCCTTTTCCTTTTGTTGATTTTTTTTTTGTTTTGTTTTGCTGTGCAGAGCTTTTTCATTTGCTATAGTCCCATTTATTCATTTTTTCCTTTGTTTCCCTTGCCCTAGGAGATGTATCGGCAAAAATATTGCTACAAGAAATGTCTGAGATTTTACTGCCTATGTTTTCTTCTAGGATTTTTATGGTTTCATGACTTACATTTAAGTCTTTTATTCATTTTGAGTTTATTCTTGTGTATGTTGTAAGTTGGTGATCTAGTTTCATTTTTTTTTTTTTGTATGTACCTGTTCAATTTTCCCAATACCATTTACTGAGTAGACTGTTTTTACTCCATTGTTTGCTCTTGCTTCCTTTATCAAATATTAATTTACCGTAAAGGCATATGTTGATCTATGGGTTCTCTGTTCTATTCCATTGATCTATATTCCTGTTCTTGTGACAGTACCAGGCTGTTTTGATTACAGTGGCTGTGTAGTAGTTTGATATCTGGTATTGTGATACCTCCAACTTCGTTATTTTTTCTCAAGATTGCTGAAGCTATTTGGGATCTTTTGTGGTTCCATATATATTTTTGGAATATTTGTACTATATCTGTGAAATATGCCACTGACATTTTAATAGGAATTGCAGTGAATCCATAGATTGCTTTGGGTAGTACGGACATTTTAATGATGTTAATTCTTCCAATCCATGAACATGGTATATGCTTCCACTTGTTTGTGTCTTCCTCTCTTTCTTCAGTACCCTATAGTTTTCTGAGTATAGGATTTTTATCTCCTTTGTTAAATTCATTCCTAGGTACCTTTTTTTTTTTTTATTGCAACAGTATGAAATACAAACATTTTTATTCTTTTAATACACGTTTAAGTTGAATATTTTCAAGTAAAAATTGCCCTATTGAATTTCTGTATTTAATTCTTTAGAATATTTCCTGTATGATTGTGATAACATTTAAATTGGATAATTTATAAACATTGTAGCAACTAATTTTTTTACCTACAAATATTTTCCTACCTTGAGAAGATCTTGTTTTTTTTTTTATTCCTATTTTTTTAAACAAATATCATTCTATTTAAGTTTTCATTGTGTGTTTCCTGATATTGGGGAAATAAAGTAAAGCCAGAGTTAACTGTCCACATGGGAATCAGCCCAGGTGCATACAATATTTGCCCTTGCATTGCTCCAGGCTGACTTCCTGCTTGGAGCTTTCTGAATTGGTGCCTTTTTTAAAGAACACTTCCCGGCAGGTGTGGCTCATTGGTTGAGCATCAGCCCATGCACCAGGAGGTCACCAGTTCAATTCCCGGTCAGGGCACATACCCAGGTTGTGGGCCAAATCCCCAGTGGGGGGCATGCAGGCGATGTTCTCTTGTTCTCTCTCAATGATGTTGCTATCTCTCTGTCCCTCTCCCTCCCTCTCTCACTAAAATCAATAAGGAAAAAGAAAAGAGCACTGGGTGCTAAAAATGATTTAATGTTTTCCTTTGGCTTTTAACATCTAGATGAAAAATAAAGAGGAAGAAGAAAGACAAAGAAAAATAGAGGCTAAAGAACATTTGGTGGCTGTCATAAAAGCAGATCAGATTTTCTGGGAGCATGAAAAGGAGAAAAAACGCAAAACTGATCAAAAACGTCGTGAAGTTCAAGATGCCCATATTAAGCAAATCGTAATTATTCCTAAATATTTATACTTATTTTAGCAATAACTATGTAATATAGAGTTCATGCTAGTTTTCTTTCCCAAGCAGATTCCTTTGTCAAGAAAGATCAGCTGGTTATTACAATTATGACACAATGAAATATGTAAGAAATGTGAAGAGTTAGTTTCTGCTTTTATCTAAAGTTCCCATACTAGATGTATATGTTTTGCACAAATATTTACCCTTTTTAGTGTCCATTGGGTTTTAGTAAATATTAAAGAAGATGCAAATGCATATGGCAGGCCATGATGCTTATTTTCTTTATTTTACTTTTTCCCTCTTTGTAAGTATAACTCAGAAACTATATTGATTGGGATCTCACAGGTTTCATATCTGAGGTGAGTAGGGGTACCAGACATTTTAGAACATGTATGAAGGACCTGACATTCAATCATTTGTAACTAAAAACTATTTTACAAAATGGCATTACCATTTTCCAGTAGTACCAGCAGTGTATGTGAGGACAGGTTGCTCCATACCCTCACTAACACCAGGTATTGTCATTCGATTTTGACTATTCTAGTGTAGCGATATCTCATGGTGTTATTTTGCATTTTCCTAATGCCTAAAAATATTGAAATTCATGTTCTTAGCCATTTGTGTGCCTTCTTTTGTGAAGTGTCTATTCAAATATTTTGCTAATTATTTAATTGGCTTGTTTGGTTTCTTTTATTTTTTTCTTTTTCCTTAAAAAAAATTTTTTTTAATTGATTTTAGAGAGCGAGGAAAGGAGTGGGAGAGAGAGATAGAAACATTGATAAGAGAGAACATCAGTTGGCTGCCTCCTGCATGTCCCGCACTGGGGATCGGGCCCACAACTTGGGCATGTGCCCTGACCGGGAATCAAACTGGTGACCTCCTGGTGCATGGGTTGATGCTCAACCACTGAGCCATACCAGCCAGGTGGTTGTTTGGTTTCTTATTGCTGAGTTTTAACTTTTATTGTATTTATTTTTTATCCTCATCCAAGGACATTTTTCCTTTTTTTGGTTCAGATAGAGTGGGAGGGAGAAAGAGGAAGAGATAGAAACATCTTCGTGAAAGGGACACATTGAGTGGCTGCCTCCCGCATGACCCCAACCAGGGTCTGGACGAATCGCAACCCAGGTACAGAGTTGGCCGAAATCGATCCCATGACTTATTGGTTCGCAGGCCGATGCTCTAACCGCTGAGCCAAACTGGCCAGGGCTAGTTTTAATTTATATTTTAATGTGGTAAAATATATATAACATAAAATTTACCATTTCATCTATTTAGTGTAGGGGCATTAAGTACATTCACAGTGATGTGCAACTGTCACCTCTATCCATATCAATAACTTTTTCTTCCTCCTACGGTGAAACTCGGTACTCATTAAGCAGTAATTCTCCTTTCCTTTGGTAACCGCTGTTCTACTTTCTGACTCGGTGAATATGATTACTCCAGGTTCCTCATATTAGGGGATCATACAGTATTTGTCCTTTTGGTCTCTTATCTCACTTAGCATAATGCCTTCAAGGTTCATCATGTTGCCACATATGTCAAGGCCAAATAATACTCTATTGTACACATATACCACATTTTGTTTATCCTCACTTCCATCAATAGAGTTTGGTTGTTTCCTTTTTTGGGTATTGCAAATAATGCTTCTTTGCACATTGGTATAAAAATATCTGTTTGAGTTTTTCCTTTTGGTTCTTTTGTTTATATACCTACAAGTGGAATTGCTGGGTTATATGGTAATTCTGTGTTTAAAAATTTTTTAGAACCACCATACTTTTTCCAGAAAGCTGTACCTTTTTACATTCCCACCAGTGATGCTCAAGAGTTCCAATTTCTCCAAATTCCTAACAAATTGTCATTTTCTGTGTTTGTTGTTATTTATAGTAGCCATCATAAAGGGTTCGAAGTGGTATCTCATTGTGGCTTTCATTTGCATTTTTTAATGATTAATGATGTTGGCATCTTTTCATATGCTTATTAGTCATTTCTATTCAGCCTGAAGACTTCCTTTAGTATGTTTTATAGTACAGGTGGGCTAGCAATACATTCTTTCAGTTTGTTCTTTTTAAAATGGATTTTTAGAGAGAGGGCTGGAGAGAGAGAGAGAGAAACATTGATGTGAGAAACATCCATCAGTTATCTCTCACATGTGCCCCATCCAGAGATTAAACCCACAACTTAAGTATGTGCCCTTACCAGGAATCAGTCCCACCACCTTCTGGTATACAGGACAATGCTCCAACCGACTGAGCCACAGAAGCCAGGACCAGTTTATTTTTCTGATAATGTCTTTTTTTTCCCTTTTGCATATATACATGTAAGTTCTTCCCAATCCCCAACCCCACTTCCCTTTGAGGTTTGTCAGTCTAGCAACCAATTTGTACTTCTTTTATTATTTTATTTTATTTTTGTGGCAGATGTTTCTCCTTTTTTACCCCATTGATACCCTCCTCCCCATCTCCCCCACCCCGTCCCCGGCTTTGTTGTCCATGTTCATTAGTTATGCGTACATGCATATAAGTTCTGCGGTTTATCTCTTTCCACCCCCCAAAACCCCCCCTTCTGAGGATTGTCAGTCTGTACCCTACTTCCGTGTTTCTGGGTCTACCCTATTCCTCAGACTGTTATATTCATTATATTCCATATATAAGTGAGATCATGTGGTATTTGTCTTTTTCTGCTTGGGTTGTTTCACTTAGGATAATACTTTCCAGGTCCCTCCATGTGGTCTCAAAGGATAACAGATCTTTCTTTCTTACAGCTGCATAGTACTCCATTGTGTTTATGTACCACTGCTTTTTTATCCATTCATCTACTGATGGACACTTGGATCTTAGCTATTGTAAATAGTGCTGCTATGAACATGGGGGTACATATATTCTTTCTGATTGGTGTTTCAGGCTTCTTAGGGTATATTCCTAGAAGTGGGATCACTGGGTCAAATGGCAGTTCAATTTTTAATTTTTTGAGGTAACACCATATTGTTTTCCACAGTGGCTGCATCAGTCTGCATTCCCACCAGCAGTGTACTAGAGTCCCCCTTTCTCTACACCCTCACCAACACTTGTTTGATAATTTGTTGATGGCGGCCATTCTGACAGGTGTGAGGTGATACCTCATAGTTGTTTTAATTTGCATCTCTCTGATGATTAGTGATGTTGAGCATTTCTTCATATGACTCTTGGCCATTTGTATGTCCTGTTTGGAGAGGTGTCTATTCAGCTCCTCTGCCCATTTTTTAATTGGGTTCTTTGTCTTCTTTTTGTTGAGTTGTATGAGCACTCTATATATTTTGGAAATTAACCCCTTATCTGATATATCATTGGCAATAATATTCTCCCATACAGTGGGTTGCCTTTTCATTTTGATGGCAGATTCTCTCTTTGTCTTGAACCTTTTGCATTTTGATGATGATGTGTCTTGGGGTTCATCTTGTTTGGGACTCTCTGTGCTTCCTGGACTTGTATGTCTGTTTTCTTCACCAAGTTAGGGAATTTTTCTGCCATTATTATTTCAAATAGGTTTTCAACTTCTTGTTCTTTCTCTTCTCCTTCTGGCACCCCCAGGATGTGAATGTTAGCATGCTTGAAGTTGTCCCAGAGGCTCCTTACACTCATCCTCATTTTTTTGGATTCTTTTTTCCTTTTGCTCTTCTGATTGGGTGTTTTTTGCTTTCTTATAATCCAAATCGATGGTTTGCTTCTTGGCTTTACCTACTCTACTATTGAATCTGTATAATTTATTCTTTATTTCAGTTAGTGCCTCCTTCATTTCTGACTAGTCCTTTTTTATGCTCTTGAGGCCCTCATAAGTTCATTGAGCATCCTTATAAGCAGTATTTTGAACTCAGCATCTGTTAGGTTGCTTATCTCCATTTCGCTCAGTTCTTTTCCTGGGGTTTTGTTCTGTTCTTTCATTTGTTTCTTTGTCTCCTCATTTTGGTTGCCTCCCTGTGTTTGTTTCTATGTATTACTTAATGAGAGGTATGGGGCTAGCTGAGACCAGATGCTGCCTGTTTGAAAGAATTTAGAAAAACCTGAAGCAGGATCCAAGACAGGCCAATCCTATGGTTAAGCAAGTAGCAACAGCTTGGGTGGGTTTGAAAGTTGGGTGGGGCAGGGCCTCAGGGAGTCTCCAGGGCGGGGCTACCAGTGTGAGCCAGGTTGCTGGAGTCCCAGATATGGCGGCTGTCTGCCGCCCCAGGGAAGGGCTCACCAAAGGAACAAACACCTCTGACAGCACGTCTGTCCAAGAGAAAGCCGCCTCTCCAGCCCTCGCTCCAGTGCCAAACAGCTCAGTTCCTCCCCATATGACTCTGGTGTCTTTCAAGTCCGAGCTGAAGCCTGGAGGGTGCAAGTCCGAGTAAGTCCGTGCGCGGGCCCTTTAAGAGGAGCTGCCTGGGGCTCCAGCCGCCTCAGCCTCCCTGAGCCTCAGTTCTCGCTGGGTTTTTCAGCCAGAAGTGATGGGGATTTTCTTCCTGGCACTGGAACCCTGAGTTGGGCACCTGGTGTGTGACCGGGACCCCTCAGTCCTCAGGGAGGACCTTCCCAGCCGAGGTGTCCTCCTGATTTTTATCCGCCACATGTGGGTGCGGGACCAGCCCCTCCGCCCCTCCTACCAGTCTGGATGTGGCTGCTGCTTTAATTCCGTAGTTGTACGGCTTCCATTCAGCTTGATTTCAGGCAGTTTTGAATGATGGTTGTTCTGTAGTTTAGTTGTAACTTTGATGTGGTTGTGGGAGGACACGATACCGCGTTTACCTACACTGCCATCTTGACCAGAAGCCTATTTTTCTGATAATGTCATTATCTTACCTTTATTTCATTGGATATAAAATTATTGGATGTCATATTTTTCCATTTTGAATATGTTGTTTCAGTGTCTTCTGGACTTCATTGTTTATAGTTAGAAATCTGTTATACACATTGTTGGTCCCTATATGTCATGTGTCATTTTTCTATTGATTTTAAGATTTTATCTTTATTTTTGACTGTCAGAAGATTGAATATGATGTATTTGTAGTTTGTGGTACTTCTTGGATGTGCCAGTTAATATCACCAAATGTGGGAACTTTTAAACTATTATTTCTTCAAATATTTTTCCTGCCTCTTTCTTTATCCTTTTTTCCCATAGGGTCCAGTTGGCACATACAAAGAGACATTTGATATTATACCAGAGATCTCTGATGCTCTGTTCATTTTTCATCATGTCTTTTTCTTTCTTTTCTTCAGATGGGACAATTTCTGTTGATCTACCTTCAAGTCCACTGATTGTTGAACTCATCTAGTGAATTTTTCATTTCAATTATTGAACTTTCAACTCTACAGATTTCCTTTGGCTCTTTTTATAGTTTCTATTTTTTTGTTTAGATTCCCTATATTTCCTTTAATTCTTTGGACATATTCATAATAGCTGCTTTGGAATCTAATTGTTAAATTTAATATGCTGTTCAGACTATTCTGTATTTTTTTTCTTCCTTAGAACAATGTAACACTTTCTTGTTTCTTTGCAAGTCTAGGAATTTTAAAAAATATTTTTATTGACTGATTGTTTCTAGGCCTTTTGGCTAAAATTGATATTTTTAGCGATATTTATAGAGAGAGAAGAAGGGAGAGAGAGAGAGAGAGAAAGATGGATGTGAGAGCAGAACATCAGTTGGCTGCCTCTTGTATACCCGAACCAGGGATCAAGTATGCAACCTGGGCATGTGCCCTGACTGGGAATCGAACCAGCAATCTTTTTGGAGCACGGGATGATACCCAATCAACTGGGCCACGCTGGCCAGGGCAGTCTAGTAATTTTTTACTGAAAACTTGACATTGTATAGTGTATGTTGTAGATTCTGTTTTGTTCTGAGAGTTGTTGCTCTTTGTTTTAGTAGGCAATTCCTTTCCCTGGATGCAAGCTATGAAATCTGTCTTCACCACAATAGATAGTCTTTGATGTCTCTGCTGATGTTTGTCTTTTTAAGTTGGCTCTCTAGGGTTCCTCACTGTATTGACACTGAGAGTCAACCAATAATGTGGGCAGAGTTTATCTTCAGACAAGTTAAGTCAGCAATGCGTCTACCACTGCTGCACAAGCTATGTGTGGTTGAGGATGGCATTCCAAAGAACAGCAAGTTCACAATTCGCTCCAGGCTTTTCATTTTTGCTAGGTGCCCTGGGATCTCCTGTGTGAATGTGTATTTTATCAATTAGTCGGGGATGTCTGTAGAGTTTATTATCTCAATTCTTCTATAACTGTCTTGCTTCCAGAATCTCCCTCATAAATTTCTAGCTACTTTGCCACTCAACCCAAATGGAATCTGCCATCATTGTCCAGTAAATCTGTACGTTTTCATCACCTGAGCTGGAGGGATGGCAATGTCCCCACCCCCTCCCCGAGAAGGATGCCATAAGGTTGCAGTTCTTACCTGATTTAGCAGCACACGGTCACTTTCTAGTGCTCTGAAATGTTTGATTTTGATAATTTTTTATAATAAACTTGCTACCTGTGAAGGGAAATTGACCAACCTCCTTATACAGCCATTACCAGAAGTAGGATCATATTATTTTGGAGAAAATCCAAGAGATCATAAACTTTTATTCATGTATATTTCAGAATATATCTCTAAAACTCAGGAACTCTTTAGGAATTAACATAATAAATTCTATAATACATTTAAAACAATTAACATTCAGTGTTTAAATTTCCCCCAAGGAGTCTCATGAGTTTTTTTTTTTTTTTTTTTTTATCCTCACCCGAGGACATTTTTCCATTTTTTGTTCAGGCAGAGTAGGAGGGGGAGAGAGGAACAGAGAGAGAGAGAAACATCGACGTGGAAGGGACACATCGAGTGGCTGCCACCCGCACGACTGACCAGAGCCGGGGACAAACTGCAACCGAGGTACATGCCCTTAGCGGGAACCGAACCCGGGTCTCTCCGGACCGCAGGCCGACGCTCTAACCGCTGAGCCAAACCGGCCAGGCTCATGAGTACTTTTTAAACTGTGTTGTTTAATTGGGTTCAAATAAGGTCCATGTATTCTGTTTGGTTGATATGTCTTTCAGGTCTTTTTTTTCTTTTTTAATCCTCACCTGAGGATTTTTTTTTCCATTTATCTTTAGATAGAGTGGAAGGAAGGGAGAAGTGGGGGGGGGGAGGGTAGAGAGAGAGAGAAACATCGATGTGAGAGCGATACACCGATTGGTTGCCTCTTGCACAACCCCAACCAGGGCCAGGCATGAACTGCAACCAAGGTATGGGCCCTTGACTGGAATCAAACCCACGACTCTTTGGTCTACGGGCCGATGCTCTAACTTCTGAGCAACTGGCCAGGGCAGGTGCTTGTTACTTTTTAACCACTATTTTAAGTTTCTTTACAAGTCTGTATTTATGCTCAGTGCACATTAAATTTGAGGCACCAATTATATGATCCATTATGTAATCCTTCCTTCCACTGTTACTTCCTTCTGTACTTCAGATGTTTCTTCCTGTCCCCTCAGTGTCTTTCTACAAACCACCACCAAATCAACATTTCCTAACTGCTTCTTGTTAAGATCCCACATTATAGTATTTTACCTTTGATGAGATAGTTTATAGCTTTTTCTGACTTAAAAAGTTTTAATATGTTTTTATTGAATTTTTTAGAGAGAGAGAGGAAGGGAAAAGAGATGGAAACATCGATGTGAGAGAAATACATCGACCAGCGGCCTCCCACATGACCCATACTGGGGATCGAGCCCGCAATGCCTGGCAATAGAACCAGGACCTCTCAGTCCATAGGTTGATGCTCAATACACTGAGCCACACTGGCCAGGTGTGACTTTTTAAAAAATCTTATTGAATGTCATTTTCTATTCTTTCAAGCTCCTGGTAGTCTATCACTGATTTAACAAATAGCACGTAAGCTTTAAGTTTGAATTGCAGCACTCAGTAATAAAAATTTGCTATTCTGTATTCATATGGTTGCTCTATTTCCTCATAAAGTTGAATTTATGGTAGATATCACGTTTGGGCTACTATTTTATTTTATTTTTTTTATTTTTTATTTTTTTTAATCCTCACCCGAGGACATTTTTCCATTTTTTGTTCAGATAGAGTGGGAGGGAGAGAGAGGAACAGAGAGAGAGAGAGAAACATCGATGTGAAGGGACACATCGAGTGGCTGCCACCCGCACGACCGACCAGGGCCGGGGACAAACTGCAACCGAGGTACGCGCCCTTAGCGGGAACCGAACCCGGGTCTCTCAGGACCGCAGGCCGACGCTCTAACCGCTGAGCCAAAACGGCCAGGGCTTTATTTTTTTTTGTATTCTTAAATCATTTATTTCAGTCACAGTAAAAGGCAAACAAAAAATAGACAGCATACTTGATTTCTCATTGTATGCTAGAAATGACAGAAGTTACTGAAGACATTCTGTTGTTTAAGTTTCACAATACTACATCAGATAAATTTTGTTATTTTTATACAAATGAGATTTTATACAAATCCCATAGGATTTATATTATTTGATTAAGGCCAATAGGTAGTTAACCAAAATTACAATAAAATTCTCTCTCTCTCTCTCTCTCTCTCTCTCTCTCACACACACACACACACACACACACACACACACACACGCTCACATACACACCCTTATCTATCACTGGTAGAGCTGGAGTGGTCTAGACAGCAGCTCAGAGGGATCTGGGATCTGAAACATGAAACTTCGGTAAAAAACCTCTAGTGCCCTGAAGACACAACCTGTTTCATGAGACATTGACACAGCTTATATTTCACAGAAATTAGTAGAGAAAATGTTTGTTCAGTAGAGACATTTACATATTTTATACTTAATGACTTTTTTCTCAAATGATTCTACATAGAGTGTGGCTTATATACCAGCACTCTTTTCAGTAAATAAAGTCAGCATTCAAGTATCTTATTCAAGTTTACACTGCACATATTTGGAGAGACTGGACTTGAACTCAGACACCCTGGACACAAAACTTCCACGTAGTACATATTATTTATGATACTGTTTTTTTTCCTTTTGTTTTTAAATCCTCACCCAAGAATATTTTTCTATTTATCTTCAGATAGAGTGAGAGGGAGGGGGAGAGAGAGAGAGAGAGAGAGAGAGAGAGAGAGAGAAACATTGATGTGAGAGAGAGACATCGACTGGTTGCCTCCCTAATGACCCCAACCAGGGCCGGGGACAACCTGCAACTGAGGTACGTGCCCTTGGCCAGAATTGAACCTGAGACCCATTGGTCCACGGGCCACATTCTACTGCTGAGCCAAACCGGCCACGGCCGATATTGTCTCTTTCACTTCTTAACGAATAAGAAATATCATGGATAAACTCACACACCCCTGAGAACTCATTCTGTAGTGAACGACTCCTTTAGAAGGTCTTCAATACCACACAAACGTTGTTGAGAAGCTTTCCTCGTTCTTCTCAGTTGCAGAGAAAATGACATTGTAAAAATTGGTGGAGATGTCACCTCAATACTGGCCTTTTATTTTTTATGAGGCATTGGTCATTTTTCTTGGGATTATAAAAAAAGGATGAATTAGGATTCTCTGTTAATGCAAACAAGATATTGGGGAAATATGACACAAGGCAAATTGTGCACCCTATTGATGAATGAAGGGTGCTTGAATTTAAAAAGAAAAAAAAAAGAAAGGCAGCAAAGAAGAGATGGTGAGAATGGTGCAGATAAACTCACTTTGCTGGATGCGCCAAAGGAAAACTAGGCCTTGAGGAACATAGTTTCAGGGTGCCAGTACATGTCATAGGATTGAAATATGGAAACACTTTCTGAGAAAAGGAACATGAAGAGAATTTATAAATGAGAAAGCCATGGTTTGTGACATTCAAAAATGAAACGGTGCCAGCATTGTAGTCTAGGAAAATCCCAACACGATGGAGAGGAACAGTCAGTTTGAGGGGTACCTTTGATGGGTTAAAATTAAAACCATCCTCAAAAGCATTATATTCACATTGATTCTCTAACCCTATAACCCAGTAGCCACATTTAGGTTGACATCTGGAGTAAATATGTTGACAGTTGTTACTCTGTCTTACAAAACCCGGCCTAAAGTCAGGGCATTTTTCAACACATACTCCCAAGGCCCAGGCACGTTTCTCGGACACATCCACCTCCCAGTAATATTTCCGTGAGGTGATCACCAGCGAGCCGAGTATACCATAATCCTCATTTTCACATTTCTCAGAAGCACAATTTGTATTCTGACGTAACACACATCTCACTTCTTTCCCACCTGCAGAAATGTCAACATTTGATTTTTTCTTGGGAGGATTCAGGGTCACGTGAACCCAATAGTGTCGCATCCACGTCAGCCCAGTAAACTTTTGCAGCACCTCTGTCAGATCTGGTCCTTTGAACACACTCCTTTGTTTCTTGACGAGAGTTTTTGGCCTCCTCAGAATGAAGGTCTTACTCCTTTTCATGATGCTATTCACATCCTGCAGCATCTCTAGTGTTGACCCCTGCAACCGATGCTCCGGATCCAAGATGAGTACTTTCAACAATTGGCTCTGCTTGCCCAGTTTACTCTCATCCTGAGCCAGGTCGTTGAGAACATCTCCATCTTCCTTCTTCAGCCTTTGCAGCTCCTTCTGCTCCTCATTGTCCAGGATCTCTCTCAGTCTTTTAAAACAATCCTGGACACACTGGTTCTCATTTTCTATTTGATCCTTCCAAGAAGTTCTCTCTTCTCTGATGTCCTCTCTCCACTTCTCAGCTATTTGCTCCTTTGACATCAGCCTTTTCAGATCTTCCTGGAGCTTCTCCTTGTACTCCTGAGCAACCTCCTCCATGAAGAATGTGTGGTGACCACGGTGCTCTTGAGACCGCTCGCAAAGCCAGCAAATGATCTTTTCATCCTCCTTACAGAACAGCAGGAGCCTCTCTCCATGGCGCACACATAGATCTCTTTTTTGTTCCTCCTCTGGGTTCAACTTGACGTTCCTAAGCATCTCCACTATGTTGGCCAAATGCCGACTAGGCCGCAGGTTCCCAGGCTGGTAACTTAGCCTGCACACTGGGCAGTGACTCTCTCCTTCCTGGCCCAACTCCTTGTTGTTGGCAGTGATGCAGTCTTGACAGAAGCTGTGCCCACAGTCCAGGCTCATGGGTTCTTTCAGGAGCTCCAGGCAGATGGGGCAGGTCGCCTCCTCCTTTATGTTCCCCAGGACTCTTGAAGCCATTGCAACTGCTTCCTGCTCCGACCTGTTCTGATGTCCTAGGTTCCTCTTGATCACAGATCCAAGCCCGTCTGGATGTAGCTGCTGATTTAATTTCGTAGTTGTAGGACTTCCATTCAGCTTGATTTCAGGCAGTTTTGAATGATGGTTGTTCTGTAGTTTAGTTGTAACTTTGATGTGGTTTTGGGAGGACGCGATACCGCGTTTACCTACCCGCCATCTTGACCGGAAGTCCTGGGCTACTATACCTAAGTGTTCTTTACTGATTTTGAACATTATTTTTATGAATATTAAAATACAACTTTCTGTAAACTCAGCATTTTTTTAAATCCCACTGAGAAGTCAAACAAAATGAAAAAGTTGTCAACCAAAACTTCAAAGAAGTCTTTAAAGTCATTAAAATCACCTCATATAATATAAACAGTTAAAGGAACAATGTTTTTGTAAATATAAACAGTTAAAAGAAAAAATATGAAATGTTGGAAAATTAGCTTTTGGTAGATTGCTTAGCATACTTATTTCACCCAGCACCTGATCAACCTACATTGATAAATGTCACGTGTTCCAACTTCAAATTAACGGGAAACAGAGAATGTAGTTGGTTTAACTTAGTTCAGGTATTCAGTGCCAATTCCATCTTATGTGCCTGTGGCACCTGGAATATTGGGATGACTTAGGACAGTGGGTCTGAGTGAGTTTTTTCACAATAGTGGAAGGGTGGGGACATATGCCAAAGAACACATTATAAATGGTAGAAACAGGATTCTAAACTTGGTTATTTGATTTCATCTAAATTTCATGCTTTTAACTATTTTGCTGTATTATTTGAAGATGCATCATTACATAGGACTTTTTTTTTTTTAATCCTCACCCGAGGACATTTTTCCATTTCTTGTTCAGATAGAGTGGGAGGGAGGGAGAGCAAGAGAGAGAAACATTGACTTGAAAGGGACACATCGAGTAGTTGCCTCCTGCACGACCCAACCAGGGCCGGAGACAAACTGCAACCGAGGTACGTGCCCTTAGCGGGAACCGAACCCGGGTCTCTCTGGACCACAGGCCGACGCTCTAACCGCTGAGCCAAACTGGCGAGAGCCACATAGGACTATTGAGGTAAGTTTCATCGAGCCAGGACTTTTGAGCTCAGTGACATTGTGAGATGCATAGGAGTTTCTCAAATACATTGTAGTATACAGTTGTTATATCGGAACTTGTCAAATACCGATGAGTTTAGAAAATTATATCAACAACTTCAAATGCTATGTATATTTAGAAAATTGGTCTTTATTTACCAGTATGAAATTGTATTTTCTTTCTTTTCCTGTTAGGCCAAAAATAAGTTTCATGCAAAGCAAGCAAAACAAGCACAACTAGACTACTGCAGACGTACTGAAGATCTTGTGGCTGAAAAGGAGAAAGAATTCCAGGATTACGCCAGAGAAGTAATTGAACTTGAGTCTGAATCAACAAAGAAACATATTTACCCTCTTGTAAAATCTGTAAAGGGAGGACCTGGAAGTGGCCGTGGCCCAGCTTTGACGAACAGAGGTGGATTGAGACCTAGCTACCAGGCAAATGATTTCTCTGGAGTCCAACTCCCTTCTTACAACTCTCAGGGATCAAAATGCAATAATTTTCAAAAGTCTAAGGGAAGGCTAGGTTTTACATGGTAGAAAAAAGTTTATTTTTAAGATTGAGAAACTAATTGTAGCTAATATTATAAGATAAACATCCTTATAGTTTAAAAAAACTGCTCTTCATCTAAGTACAAGTATGTCAGATCTTCACCACTGAAGGTTAATTCATTTTTTTATAAAAATGCATACACAACATAAGATGTATAATTTCAGCCATGCAAATGTGTTTTCAGTGGCATTTATATTCATAATACTGTATAACCGTTATGATTATCGAGTTCCAGAACCTTCTCACTGCTCCATGTGGAAACCGGGACCTGTCGAGCAGTTGCTCCCCATACCTCCTCCAGTGCCCCGGTAACCACAAGTCCACTTGGTCTCTGTGGATTTGCTTATTTTGGATATTTCATATAAATGGAATCATACTGTGGTCTCGTGTCTGGCCTATTTCATGCGGCATGTTTCCAAGGTTTATCCAATGGTGTACCATCATCAGCACTTCATTCCTTTTTATAGCTAAATGATAGTCCAATGGAAGTACTGCTTTTCTCTTCAGAAAATTGTGTATTTATCATTTAATACTTCAGTTTTAGTTTCAAATAATACTACCAATATTATTACTAACAATATGATTACTGAATGCAATTTATGGCTTCGTTGTTAATTTCACAGTGTATATCACTAGACGTGCAAATTACCATGTTTTAAGGTCATTTGAAATAGTTATGCTACATGTAGTTAGGCAACCAACTTGATGCAAGTTCAGTGGTGTTTTATGAACTGCATTCCCCTACTCCTTTACATCTTTTTTTAATTAATTTTTTTTTTTTAACCATGGTATAAAATGCAGAACACAAATCTTACCATTTTAAACATTTTTAAGAGTACAGTTCAGTAGTATATATTCATATGGTTGTGTAACCAATCTCTGTGCCTTTGTCATCTTGCAAAACTGAAACCATGTACCCACTGGACACCCACTGAGCCACACCAACCGGGCCCACTGAACAACTCTCCATTTCCCCTTCCTCTCACCTCCGGGGACCTGCCATTCCACTTTCCGTTTCTGTGAATTTGACTCTAGATACCTCACTAAGTAGAATTGTACAGTATTTGTCTTTCTTTGACTGGTTTACTTCCATTAGCATAATGTCCCCACGGTCATCCAACATCGTAGTGGTGTCAGAATTCCTTTTTTTTTTTTTTGACTGAATAATATTAAATCATACACACACACACACACACACACACACACACACACACACACACCAAACTTTCTTTATCCATTCTTTCATCAATGGGTTACTTCTACCGCTTGGCTGTGGTGAATAATGCTATAAACACTGGTGTGCAAATCTCCAAAATACTCTTTATTTTAGATACATGCTCAAAAGTAGAATTGCTGATTGACATTTAAGATTTTTTGAGGAACCATCACACTGTTTCCATGAGCTGCACCACTTTACATTCCCATCAGCATTGCACAAGGGTGCACACCTTTACTAACACTTATTGTGATAGTAGCCATCCTAATGGATATGAGGTGCTCTCTCATTGTGGTTTTGATTGGTACTTCCCCAATTAGCAGTTTTGAGAATTTATCATCCTTGGAGACATGTCTATTCAAGTCCTTTTGAGTAGTTTTTTGCATCCATTGCTTTTCTGTTGAGTTGTAGTTCTTTACACACTGTGGATAGTAATCCCTTATCAGCTATATTTACAAACATTTTCTCCTCCATTCCCCAGAAAAGTAGGTTACCTTTTCACTGTTGTCCTTTGCCTATTTAAAAAAAGCAAATATAGCCCTGGCCGGTTTGGCTCAGCGGTTAGAGCATCGGCCTGCGGTCCGGAGAGACCCGGGTTCGGTTCCCGCTAAGGGCATGTACCTCGGTTGCAGTTTGTCCCCGGCCCTGGTTGGTCGTGCGGGTGGCAGCCACTTGATGTGTCCCTTTCATGTCGATGTTTCTCTCTCTCTCTCTCCCTCCCACTCTATCTGTGCAAAAAACGGAAAAGAATGTCCTCGGGTGAGGATAAAAAAAAAAAAAAAAAGCAAATATAGCCCTGGTTTGGCTCAGCGGTTAGAGCATTGACCTGTGATCCAGAGAGACCTGGGTTCGGTTCCCGCTAAGGGCACGTGCCTCGGTTGTGGTTTGTCCCCGGTCCTGGTTGGGTCGTGCAGGTGGCAGCCACTCGATGTGTCCCTTTCATGTCGATGTTTCTCTCTCTCTCTCCCTCCCACTCTAAGCAAAAAATGGAAAAATGTCCTCCAGTGAGGAAAAAAAAAAAAAAGCAAATATATATACATTTGCATTTTACTCTTGCACAAAGCTTTTTTCATTTAATATAACCTAGGTCCCAGCTGGTGTGGCTCAGTGGACTGAGCGTCGTTCCATGGACTGAGAGGTCCCAGTTTAATCCCAGGTCAGGGGACGCCCTGGTTGTAGGCTCAATCCCCAGTAGGGGCTGTGCAGGAGGTGAAGTCTCTCCATTCTGACCCTCAGTTACTGCACGTACATACCCTGGCGGTTTTTTGTAAACATGAGGACCTTAAAAAAAAAAACAGAGAAAACTATAAAGATAAGGGGGTTTAGAATGACCTTGAGAAACTCAGAGAAACTATAAAGAAAAAGAGATTAATGGTTGCCTTGACCTCTGTAACAGCTCCTCTTGTTCCCCTCTATCAGTCCCCCCGCTTAACAGTGCCAAAAGCGGCACCAAGAATATAGTTTTTTTTCTCTGTAGTTTATGTATATGTAAGGAAGGAACAAAGAAGGCTCAGGGCTGGGAATTTGGGGAGACTATCCCCTGCAGCCTGCTGGTGAATAAAATGTTCCTTTACAATTCGGCTGTGCGTCTCTGGTTATCTTGCTAACACGTTACGACAGAGGCAGCTGATCGATGTTTCTTTCTCACATCAATGTTTCTAACTCTCTCTCCCTTCCCTTCTCTCTCTCAAAAAAAAATTAATAATAAAAATTAAAAAACAGCCTGGCTGGTGTGGCTCAGTGGTTAAGCATTAACCCATGCACCAAGAGGGCGCCAGTTCAATTCCCAGTTAGGGCACATGCCCAGGTTGTGGGCCGAATCCCCAGTGGGGGCATGCAGGAGGCGGCCAATCGATGTTCTCTCTCATCGATGTTCCTATCTCTCCTTCTCCCTTGCTCTTTCTCTAAAATCAATAAAGAAAAAAAACTTAAAAAACAAAAAACAAAACCAATCATATTTAAATAACCTAGAGATCACAGCCCAGTATATAAAGACCCTCATTTTCCCCCAACTGGCATAGTATTCTGTTGCATGTATATACCAGTTTATTCAACCAGTGGCATACCAATAGGTATGATTTCCAGTCTTTGCTATTATAAATTTCTGCAATAGCTTGGTTTCATATCTTTACCAGTGTACTTTATTTTTTTTAATTAATTTATTTTTTTATCCTCACCCGAGGACATTTTTTTCCATTTTTTGCACAGATAGAGTGGGAGGGAGGGAGAGGAAGAGAGAGAGAGAGAGAGAAACATCGATGTGAAAGGGACACATCGAGTGGCTGCCACCTGCCGACCAACCAGGGCCGGGGACAAACTGCAACTGAGGCACATGCCCTTAGCGGGAACCGAACCCAGGTCTCTCCGGACCGCAGGTCGACGCTCTAACCGCTGAGCCAAACCGGCCAGGGCTTTACCAGTGTACTTTAAAAAAAATATGTTTTTATTGATTTCAAAGAGAGATAAAAACATTGATGAAAAATGACAGCCTCTAATAAATGGCATTGGGAAAACTGGACAGCTACATGCAAAAAAATATTAAGCTAGACCACCAACTTACACCACATACAAGAATAAACTGAAAATGGATAAAATACGTAAATGGGACTCGTGAATCCATAAAAATCCTAGAATAATATGTATGCAACAAAATTTCAGACATCACACGCAGCAGAATTTTCACTGACACAACGCCTAAGGCAAGAGAAACAAAGAAAAAAATTGATACGTGGGACTACATCAAACTAAAAACCTTCTGCACAGCAAAAGAAACAAGGATTGAGCCCTGGCCCGCGGTCCAGAGAGACCCGGGTTTGGTTCCCACTAAGGGCACGTACCTCGGTTGCCATTTGTCCCTGGCCCCGGTTGGGGTTGTGCGGGAGGCAGCCACTCGATGTGTCTCTTTCACGTTGATGTTTCTCTCTATCTATCTCTCTCCCTCCCTCCCACTTTATTTGAACAAAAATGGAAAAATGTCCTCAGGTGAGGATTAAAAAAAAAAAGCATCGAAATAGAAAGGCAACCCACTGTATGGGAGAGCGTAATTGCCAACGATATATCAGATAAGGGGTTAATTTCCAAAACATATAGAGTGCTCATACAATACAACAAAAGGAAGACAAAGAACCCAATTAAAAATGGGCAGAGAACCTACACAGACACTTCTCCAAACAGGACAAAGGCCAAGAAACATATGAAAAAATGCTGAATGTCACTAATCATCAGACAGATGCAAATTAAAACAACAATGAGGTATCACCTCACACCTGTCAGAATGGCCGCCATCAACAAATCATCAAACAACAAGTGTTGGCGAGGGTGTGGAGAAAAGGGGACTCTAATACACTGCTGGTGGGAATGCAGACTGGTGCAGCCACTATGGAAAACAATATGGTGTTACCTCAAAAAATTAAAAATGGAACTGCCATTTGATCCAGTGATCCTACTTCTAGGAATATACCCTAAGAAGCCTGAAACGCCAATCAGAAAGAATATATGTACCCCTATGTTCACAGCAGCACTATTTACAATTGCTGAGATCTGGGAAACAATCCAAGTGTCCATCAGCAGATGAGTGGATAAAAAAGCTGTGGTACATATACACAATGGAGTATTATGCAGCTGTAAGAAAGATCTCTTGCCCTGGCCGGTTTGGCTCAGCGGTTAGAGCGTCGGCCTGCGGTCCGGAGAGACCCAGGTTCAGTTCCCGCTAAGGGCATGTACTTTGGTTGCAGTTTGTCCCCGGCCCTGGTTGGTCGTGCGGGTGGCAGCCACTCGATGTGTCCCTTCATGTCGATGTTTCTGTCTCTCTCTCCCTCCCACTCTATCTGTACAAAAATGGAAAAATATCCTCGGGTGAGGATAAGA